ACTCGGCGGTGATACAGGCACGCCAGTTTGCAGGCGTCATACACGAGCTGGCCCGGTCCCAATTCCGGGGGGGGAGGTATTCACTTGCTAAGCGAACTTGCTCTGCTCCCAAGCGTGAGGGTTCCCGTCTTGCCGCACGGCACGGGAGTTCGAACTCCTTGCAGTTTGGGCGAAATAGCGCGGTTGGCACAGGGCCTATCATGTTTCCCTCCATGTTCATGAATGGCCCAGTTCGCAGAGCAGATCTTTGGCTTTCTGAATACTCCGGTTTTACAAGGACACGTACTGGGCATGTCTACAGGATGCAGCCCCACCATACCATGTGATTGGAAAAGGCTCATGAGTCCCTGTTGCGCAAGCTGCAGATCCCCGTAATGCCTCCAAGTCTTGCCTCTGGTCTTCGGAAGCTGAAATCGGATGGCACTGGCCAATGCTTGTTATTGGTTCTGCATTGCTCACAGACTCCACGGAAATTTGCTTGTTTCGTTTCGTATTGCCAGCTTGGGATGGTCGCAGATACTTGCCAAGATCAACGAAGGGGATGTTTATTTACCTTTACTTACTTATAGCCAGGGAAAGCCAGTGTCTACGGTAGTCCCACCTTGCCAGGTCCCTGGGTCAAGCAGCGAACTTCGAAGTCCAACTAACAACAACAATTCAACAACAACACAACTTCGCTTTCTACGCTGCAAATACTTGTACGTGGGAGCTTTGTTCTGGGGGGAGGCGATCTCATTAAAGTGCAACCTGGTCATAGTGTTGGTCTTCGGAAACTGTGGAACGCTGGCGCTCTGACGTGCGTCATGCACCTTTGTTTGCTTGTCTCTTTTACTCACACCCAGCTTTTATTCAAGTTGCATCTCTTCCAAGGCGCTGGCGAGCCAGAAGCTTGGCAATCAGTGCAAGGGTCTTAGTCCCTTTGTTGCGGGATTGCGATTGTACAGCATCCAGGTATTATCCAGGCCGGATCTGTCAGGTCTGTGACTCTACACTCAGGATTACATGGGCTTGCAATCGTAGATACGGCCGGACATGCTGTCTACTTGCCAAGTTGGTAAACTTTGCCTAGTAGTCCCGTTCGTCGGGTGAGGCCATGCCATACTGCTGTTGTGTTAAGTTCCTTTTTCAAGCAACAGTTGGTCCTGAGGCACTCCTAGACTCAGACTGGTGAGGTAGCCTCCTGGTCTAAGACGCCCACTCTCCACGCCAGAGTAGCCGCTAAAGTTCTGTTTTGCGAACAACTGCCCGTGCTGCGTCCTCGGACCGGCGCGCAGGTGCAGTTTTGCGCTCCACGGGCTGAGTCCACGGACCGCCGTGAGGCGAGTCGTGCTGAGCTTTTGGCAGATTGCTGCGCGGCAAGACTGCCGCTATGGGGCCGTTACTAGCTGCTTTGCTTGGCCTAGTTTCGGCCGGCTGGTTTCTTCCGTGCTGTTCCTTGCCCTAGCAAGGTCAGTTTGGGTGTTGGTTTGATAAACTTGCCCCATAGTTGGCTATTCATGCGCATGAGTCAGTATTAGTCGTCATTCGCCCGCAGCCCGATGCCCGCCAAGGTGCGGGACTACCCGCGCGAGTGTCTGAATGAAATAATGCAACCATTACTACTACTACTACTACTACTACTACTACTACTACTACTACTACTACTACTACTACTACTACTACTAAAACTACTACTACTACTACTACTACTACTACTACTACTACTACTACTACTACTACTACTACTACTACTACTGCGACTACTACTATGGCTATCGTTGTGACTCGGGCTATGATCATGCGCGTGACGGTAAGTGTGACTATACCATCGCTGGCACTATGACTCGGACCCTAAATTGTACCGTTAAGCTTCCGTTTAGCTTCTGTATCACTATGTATGGCAGTATGTTTGGTACTCTTCTTTTGGTCCTAGAGCTCTATCTATTTGTAGCTTTTCATCCGTCATGTTGCAGGTGTGTCTACGAAGCTTTCCTCGCTTATTCATGGGGCAAGGTCATGAAGACCGCTGCTCGCAATCATGAAGGGCTTTGGCTCCTCCTTGTCCGTGCGATGTGCGTGTATGTTGCAGGTGTAGGTGGGCTGTGGATGCTGTGGCTGTTGGGTGGAAGCTCTGTGATGCCCCAGTACAAGCTCTTTTTATTGGCCCCTGTGGGCGTTACAACTGCACTGATCGGCTTATTTGGGCAGAACTTCTTTTTCCGCTGGCCAGCAGTCCTGCAGGAGGCAGCTATGGCCATAGTTTTCTTTTGCACAGCTATGTTCCTGACCGAAGCGACGACCATCAATGTTCTTTATGAACGTAGCCATGTGGTGAAAGTTTGGGATGCTCTTCAACTGCTTATCTTCCTGGTGGGGACCGCATGTTTCCAAGCAGATTGGACTAAGTTCGTGGATGCGCGACGCCGTTCTGAAATGCTCCGTAACAAGTTCACAGGCAGTTTATTGGATGCCAGTTGTTCGTCTGCTGAAGACAAAGGGAACATTCATCGCGAACTTTTTGAGAGTGGAAACTTGGACGAGGTGGAAGCGGCTGTTAACATTCTTCTGCGCGTGAACTTCCTGACCCCAGAGCTCAAGGAAGCTGCGAATCTTGTCGGAGAGATCGGGGACAATTCGGTATCCTTTTTGGGAGTTCCTTGGATGGCCCTTCAGTTCTGGCTTATTGGTCCCATCGACCAGAGGTCTTATCCACTCTTTCAAGGTCGCCTTTTCGAGCAGGCCTTATTTGTGGTCATGTCGATAGAGGCAGCCTGTTGGATTGTGGTGTTCATGTGTTCGCCAACGGACCGAAGGAACTTTGCCAAATATGTCCTGCGGCTTTGGATTCTGGCGTTTGTTACAGTTACCGGGGTGCAATATGTTGTTCCATTGTCAGTGACAAACTCATTGTGGCTGTGGTATCCAAAGTTTGGAGGCATTTTTCTTGGCCCGTTCTGCCTATTCGTTCTGATCGCTGGGCCCATCCGTGTCGCTCGTGTTCCCATAGTGGGGCACTCACTGGTTCGATTATCACTCGGCGGACGCATGTGCTCTCGGAGACTCGGTTCTCGTTAAGGAGTTTAGTTTAGGTCACCATCAAATAAGGAAGCCACAGTGTTTATTTGCCAGACTATAGATCCCTATCATAGCACCCAAGTCATCACAATAAGGAAACTGTATTCTTTTGCTCTAGCTCCCGATTGTGGTGCCTTAAAATCAAGCTCCTCAAGAAGAGCCCAGGCGCCGTGGAAGTGAAAGCTTCAACATGGCGCGCGTCGAATCGCCTCGCGGCACGGCCGAGCCGTGCCGAAGCAGTGGGTCGACGTTTTCGATTTAGGGGCAAGATCTTCCAAGAATCCTTGGCAACTAAGCCCTAAACCTTAAATCCTACACCCCTAAATACGATGCTTGGTTGGGGTTTAGGGTCTGGGGGGCTCTCAAACTAGGGGCTATCTTAGGGATCTAGAACCGCTTGTACCTGGTTTCATATCCTTTGATGAACATATCTTACAGTATGCTGTGATCCCTGAACCCGCTAAACCCGAAACCCCCAAAACCCTAAACCCCCTAAACCCCTCCACACCAAACCCTAAACCTTAACCCCCCATATGACACATTTTTAAGGAGTACTCCTTTGTTCCGGTACTTGAGCAGATCGTGGGGTTTCAGCCCCAAGCGGATCGCTGAAAGCGACGAGGCCCTTAGGTAAGGTGTTCCTTTAGTGGATCGTTAACGGGTCTATAAGGAATCTATGAGGGTATTATTTCGGATTTTTGGGCGTTAGGGTTTAGAGTATAGGGTTTAGATTTCAGGGATGTCTAGGGTTTAGAGTTTGGGGTTTAGGTTTTAGGACATTTAGGGCATTTAGGGTTTGCAGTTTGGGGTTTGGGCTTGGTGTTTGGATGGTAGCTCCTGTCCTTAGTCACTGTGAAAGAGTGTGCCAGAAACGAGCAACACTGCTTGACTTGTCCTGGGTGGAAATGTACAGAGAGACTGTCCACTAAAGGGCCAACGGGTTTTTCCACCATTTCCGTACACAATCGGACTGTGCCCTTCGTGCGCAAACTGCAGTTTTCATCTATGATGCCCAGTAGTACCCTTATTCCGTTTTTGTAGTCCTATGTTCCTCAAAAAGTAACCCAATACCAAAAAGTGAGGCCTTTTTATTCCTAGGTTACTGGGCATCCTAGTCATTTTGGCATGTCTAGACCCTGCTAAGCAGGATTTAGTGCAAGAAAGAAGATACGTGTTGCGCTGTAGATGGGTGTTTCCAATCATGGCTCACACGCCGAGGGCGACCCACCCGAGCCCCCAAACCCTGAACCTAAACCCAAGAATCTAAACCCTAAGCCCTAAACCCTTAAATCCCAACCCCGTAGACCCCCAAAACTGCTAAACTCTAAGCCCTAAACGCCTGAACCCTTAAACCCTAAACCCTAAACCCTGCCGGCTGATGCGGCGGACCAGTTTGAAGGGTGATGGAAGCGGTCCGAGCAGAGGCGAAAGCTGGAGGGGTTGTTCTGGGCAAGGAGGCTTACACGAGGTGTGGATGTTCGAAGATGGATGTGTTTTCCCCGGTTGGACGAAAGGGTCCCACCGTCCTGGAATTTTCGGCCTCGCGCAGACCTTTCAGGCTACGCAGAAAAAGGAGCTACAAAAAACACTAAACCCTAAACCCTAAACCCTAAACCCTAAACCCTAAACCCTAAACCCTAAACCCTAAACCCTAAACCCTAAACCCTAAACCCTTGCACCATAAACCTTAAACCCTAAACCCTTAGATCCAAAGCCCCTCGACCCCCAAAATACCAAACCCCTAAACAGAAAAAGATTTCTTATAGATCCCTTTAGGGAACCCCCTTAGGGTTCCTTCAAAGGAAGCCCTAACCCCTAAAACAACCTAACCCTAAACCCTAAACCCTAAGCCCTAAACCCTAAACCCTAAATCCTAAAACCCTAAACCCTAAACCCTAAATCCTAAACCCGAAACCCTAAACCCTAAACTTTCTTGAAGTCCTTAGGTGGACGAGGCAAGACTTCGATTGGGCCCCGGTCGCCAGGTGCCCGAATCCCAGAGTCAGGGGTGTGCCTGAAGGGTTTCGGGTTCAGGGCTTGGGTTTAGGGTTTAGGGTTTAGGTTGTTTTGGGTTTAAGGGTTTACGGGTCAGGGTTAGGGCTAGGGGTTTAGGTTGTCGGGTTTAGGGTTCTTGGGGTCGAAGTTTTTCGCTTTAGGCATCCGGCTTTGGAAGGGGGGTGGGTGGGTGGGGGAGCGTGGGGTGGGGGGGGGGGGGGGTAAGTATACCAACATGTTCGACCACTTGCATGTTGCCGTTCCTGCAGCTGCGGCTGACATGTAGCCTATAGCTTTAGGTGTTTTGGGTTTGGAGCAGCTATATGAACTTACAGGTTTAACAAAACCCACGTAACCCTGAAAACATTTCAACGAGCTGATAGCCTTAGGTTTATTAGAAATGGAGCTTCTAAATGAACTTAGAGGTTCAACAGAACCCATGTAACCCTGAACATGCCTGAACACACATTGCCCGCATTTCAACAACACCGGCTGACAGTGCAAAAAGCCCTGTGGTTGCAACAGTTTAGAGGTTCAACTAAATCAATGTAGTCCTGTGCACACATCTGAACACGCATCAGAAAAGCCCTTCCCAGAGCATCCAAAACCCTTAATAAAGAACATATTTTAAATCCTTTTAGGGATCCTATTGTAATTTACAGTATATTCCTGAATTAAGGGGTTTTGGAGTCTCTGGGTTCTGAGTCCCCTGGATCTCCAAGTGAAGGCAGGAAGTGCGTGACACCTTGGCATCTGAGGGGTTGAGGCACGCGGTTTAGGGCTCTGGGTTTCTGCTTGGAGGCCCTTTTGACTTAGTAAGTAGGGTTAGTAAGGTGGGTTATGGGGATTATAATAGGGTTTCTGGGGGATACTAAGTAGACTTACTAAGTCAACAGGGCCTCCAAGTGGTTTCAGCGATGACGGGCTTTGAAAAGTTGGGATTTGGGGGGCTTGGGATGGAGGACCCAGAGCCTCCCAAACCCCTTAATTAAGGAATATACCTTAGATCATATTAGGGATCCTATTATGATTTAAGGTAGATTCCTTAATTAAGGGGGGTTTGGATGCTCTGGGGAGTTTAGGGTTTCGGACTCAGGGGGATCGAGAGTAGGATTCGGCGTTTTGGGTTTGGGAACAGAAGGTTTTTAGGGTTTAGGGTGTAAGTTTTGGTCTTCATGCTAAGTAGCAACCCCCAAAATTGTAAGCTGAATTTATCACGACTGCGTATGCGAATTCCGCTCGTATTCTCGAGCTGGAACCGGCGATGATGGTTTTGGGGGGTGTACTTGGAGGGTCGGGGGACTTAGTAACTGGTTATTTTAGGGACTTATAAGTACCATAACCCCAATTAGGGGGCCGTTTTAAGGTACTTATAAGTCTACTTACTACCTACTTACAAGTCCCCCGACCCTCCAAGTGTAGAGCTTCGGGGCTCCAGTTTTTAGGGTTTGGGCTCCAGGGAATCGCTCCGTGGGCATCTTCTTGGAAAGGCTTGCTGATGCCGTTGGGCACCTTCAGGAACTGAAGCCCTAACCCTAAACCATGGTTTAGGGTTTAGGGTTTAGGGTTTAGGATCCTAAACCTTAAACCCTTGCACAATGTGGACTCCACCGACCTTAGCTGCTAGGAGGAAAAGGCATTCAAAAAAAAAACCCTAAACCCCTAAACCCTGAACCCTAAACCCTAAACCCTAAACCCTGAACCCTAAACCCCTAAACCCTAAACCCTAAACCCGCAGTGTTGGGCTCTAGGGGTTGAGAAACACACGCAATGTCAGTGTTGGCTGTTTCGTCTTTGGGAAGCCCCAGAGTCCCGTGAATCGTGCAAGGGATGTTTAGTGTTTAGGGTTTAGGGTCTAGGGGATGTTCAGTCAGAGCACAGTCTTGCGTGAGTACGGTAGGGGCCTTAATTAGATTGGGGTTGCTTAGAGGATCATGGGACTTAGTGAGTGAGGTTATAAGTACCCTAATTGGAGGTATAAGTATAGTTACCTTATTAAGAACCCTAGTTACGAAGTCCCATGATCCTCCAAGTGGCGGTTATATCGTACTATGATTAAAGTATAATAAGGAACCTCCCATAACCCTATTCTAATTATTATGGCCCCTACACTACTGGTTAACCTCGAACCTCACAACAGCTCCAAACCACACTGCTTGGTTAGTGGGTGCCAGCCAGAGATAGAGTTCTGTATGATGTCAAGAGTCTTGGTTAGGTGTCCTTTATGAACTCAGCGTGTAATACATCCCTTTTGTACAGTACACCGCCAGGCCCCATTCCAAAACTTAAGTCCTAGACCCTACACGGCCCTAAACCCTAAACCCTAATCATGACCCCGCCCCCTATGTTGCTTCGCATCTTCTCGCCAGCTTGCTTTAATTCAACCAGGCCTTGACTGTTTGCTTAGGGTTTAGGGTTTAGGGTTTCCCCGGAATCCCCCAAGCTCAATCAGATAATCAGCTATCCTAAGTCTTCGCAGGTTTGGGGTTTAGGGCTTTGGATTTAGCGCCCAAGGCCTAGGATCTACGGTGTAGGGCCTTTCGTGTAACATGGGCTCATAGAGAGCTGTTGCAGGCATTTTCCTTAGTAATTGCATCCCCCAAGGTTGCCTGTATCCGTGCACTGTAGAGGTATACAAAATTATACCCAAAAGTCCTATATCAGCAAGCCCTATGTGTATCAACAGTTCCGTCAGGATCACAGGTTGAGGAGGGACATAGGATTTTTTGTAGGGGTCATATCGCGGCCTCGATTAGGGCGCTGACACACCAGCTCGTACGGGGTTTAGGGTATTAGGGTTTGTGTCTAACCGTAGGATTGAGAATAGCTCACACAGACAAGCTGCAGAGGGTTGCTTTAGCTGTTAAGATTCGGCTGTTGCGTTGAACACTTTTAGTACTGTAGAAGACAGAACGGTCACCAATACTACTCCGTAGGCTTCTTTATTGTCATTATGATATAATATAACTCCCCAAGCCCTATTCTAATCATTACTTGGAGGTTCATGGGACTTGGTAAGTATGGTATGGTTATAAGTACCTTAACTGTGGTTATAAGTAGTTGTAAGTATAGTTACCTTAATTATAACCCTAGTTACTAAGTCCCAGGATCCTCTAAGTACGGCCACTATACATCACCCAACCTTGAGAATGCATAGAGCCATTCCTTGGAGGCTCAAGGTAGCGAGTAGGGCTATCTGTTAGGAGACGGATCTTTCGATCATCTTCAAGCCCTCTTTGCGAAACTCTACTTGGATCATGGGACTTAGTAACTAGGGTTATAAATAAGGTAACTATACTTATAACCCCAATGAGGGTACTTATAACCTCACTTACTAAGTCTCATGATCCTCCAAGTAAACCCCTAAACGCTCTTGGCACAGGCCGTGGTTGTCTTTGGAGCAGCTGGCTTCCCAGAATGCCCTAAGCACTAAACCCCAAGCCCTAAACCGTCCCAAATTAAGCCCTGAGCGCGGACCGCTACGCCTTAAGCCCTAAGCCTGGGTCCCTGCTACCCTACCAAGCGACCCGTTTTCCAGAGAACTGCCCTTATTGTACCTTATAGGAACCCCTATAGAAACCTTTATAGATCTTTAAAAGGACCCTATGAAGGGACCCCCAACTTAGAGGATCATGGGACTTAGCAACTAGGGCTATAATTGAGGTAACTATACTTATAACTACTTACAACCACAGTTAAGGTACTTATAACCGTACTTACTAAGTCGCATGGACCTCCAAGTAAACCCTAAACCCTAAATCCCGAAAGATCCCTATATAGAACCCTATAGCTCCCTTTAAGGATCCCTTTAAGGAACCCTATAGCTCCTGGCCACCTCTGATACCCCTGATTTAAAAGGTTCGAGGGTTGTCCGGGGCAAGGGGCTTCGGATGTTTGAGAGTCTTGGGTTCAGGTTCTAGGGTCCTTAAAGGGTTCCTTAAAGGGATCAATAGGGATTTAGGGTTCAGGGTCTTTTAAGGGTTCCTCACCGGGATCTTTCGGGATTTAGGGTTTGGGGTTTAGGGTCTACTTGGAGGTTCATGGGACTTAGCAGGTACAGCTATAAGTACCTTAACTGGGTTTATAATTAGGTTTAATTGCAGAAACCCTGAACCCTATGCTTTGTTATAAATCCAGTTACGAAGTCCAATGGACCTTGAAGTAGGGTTTGGGGTTTAGGTCGGAGGTCCGTTCCCATACTCGCTACTGCAGACGCTTGTGTTTGGGGTTTAGATTTAGGGTTTATGCTTTAGGGTTTGGGGGTTTAGGATTTGGGGTATTGTTTTTCCAGGTGTCCGGCAGAGGATTCTGCCCAAATATTCCTGCCACCGGTGTTTAGTACCGAAACGAAAGTAAACCCCAAAAAGAACCGAATGCACATCTGCTAGATGCAACCGTTTCGAGGATTCCTTCGATGGGGCACTCTTGAATCCTAAGAGCGCTACTCCTAAACCCCTCGAGGTCGCTCTTTACAAAAACCCTAAACTAGACTGCAAAATCCTGAATCCCAAAAATCCAACCCGGATTCTCCCTTAGGCCCTAAACCTTGAAGCCCTGAATCCCTCAAGCCTTCAACCCTAAACCCTAAAACCCTAAACCCCTAAAGCCCTAAGGGGGGTTCGGCGGGATAAGGGGGGGGGGTGCTTTGAGGTACCATCCTGTCGGCCGCCTGGACCGCGACACCACAGGCCGGGGCCCTTCCAGGAAACGCCACCTCCCCGACCAAAAGCGACAGGACCCAGGGTTAGTATGTATATAAGCTTGTTTGCATTATATATATATATATATATCTACACACACACATATAGATGCATACATACATCTGTACGTTTTGTTTGTATATGTTGCAGAGATAGGCATGCAGACAGACGGTCAGACAGACGGACCGAACCTCCGACAGACAGACAGAGACAGATAGACAGACAGACCCACGGACAGAAAAGGCAGGCAGGACAGACAGGTAGATACATAGATACATAATATATAGAGATAGAAGGATAGAGATAGAAAGATAGAGATAGAAAGATAGAGACAGAAAGATAGAGATAGAAAAATAGAGATAGAAAGATAGAGATAGGTAAATAGAGAAAGGTAAATTGAGATAGATACAGATAGGGATAAAGATAAAGATAGAGATAGAGGCGGAGATGCAAATCGTAGAATATGGACATATACATATATATATATATATAAACAGATCTTCTGATACATAAATCAACAGATGTACATACAGATATAGATGTAGATTAGCAGAGAGGTATAGAATTAAATATAGACATAGATACAGATTAGATGTAGATATAGACATAGTTAGAGGTATAGATGCCGTGTATAGACACATGTAGATGTACAGCTGTATAGATACATAGATATGTAGATATAGATATAGACAGAGATATAGGTGCAGATATAGATGCAGATAGAGATAGAGATTCAAGGTTTGATAAGGCTTGCGGTCTAGCCCGGCTAGCAGGACCAAGGGGTTGGATGTAGACTACGGGGTGTTTTGGGCCGTTCGATACCTCCCAAAGCCTACCCTCCTAAACCGTAAACCCTAAACCCTAAAGGCACATTCCTTGATTCAGGCAGTTGGTTCCCGAGGGGAGGAGGAGAAAGGAGGAGGAGAAGGAGGAGGAGGAGGGGGAGGTGTGTTATCCCCTTTGTAAGCCCTATATCCACAAGTCTTTAGACTAAACCCTGATAGTAAGCCGTTTATCCATAATCCCTAAACTCGAAAACCTCATAATGAGATCTTATGCAGCTTTTAACGGGAGCTATACACCCCTAACTTTCTGAAGTTTTTGCGGCCTTATAGAAATCTTAGGGGTTCCTATAAAGGTTTCCGAAGGATCCCTAGAAGGGTTCCGTTTTTTTCAGGAGCTACAAACCCATGATTTTGAAGATTTCGCCGACTCGCCCCTGTCCAGGGCTCCTCCTACTAAGCCGAGATGGGAAGCTCGGGCCTCAAACCGTTTAGGAACCCTAAACCCTAAACCTTAGGTACGGCCCCCATACAGTAAGAGTCTATAATAGGGCTACTATTAAGGTCCTACTATATCTATATTATGAATATTATTCAACTGTTACTGAGTGGGGGCCGTACCCAACCTAAACCCGGTTTGGGGTTCAGGGTTGAGGGATTTTGGGTTTGTGGGTTTACGGTTTGGGGTTTCCGGTTTGGGGTTTGGGGGTCGCAGAAGGCTTCCTCTTAAGGGCTGCGTAAGGGATTCTGCCAGGATTTAGGCCAGGTTGGAAGGGGTCCAGGTACTTAATAATCACATTATATTCACACAAATCCTAACCCCAAAAAACCCTTTAAAGACACCCTTAAAGAAGCCCTTTATAGAACCCTAAGGGTCCAACTACCTAATAATCATATACTCTCCAAAACCCCAGCCTACTTAACTACTATCCTAAAACCGAGTACCTAATTATTGGGAGCTTTGGACCCTTGGGGGTTTGGAAGGGGGACTTTTTTAGGCTTCTAAGGGTCCGGGGATGAAGGGCTGCAGCTGCTTCGATTTGAAATCCTAAGCTCCAAGAGCGGCAGGGGCGATGGTGTCTGTCGCTGCTGTTAAAAGTTTTCAAAACCAAAATTCAGTAGCATTCCTTAGAGATTCTGAGTATGATTATACCATAAAACCCCCTTTTCAATGGAACCCGAAGGAACCCTATTATAACTAACTATTAAGGCCCCCATATGGGAGTATCGTAGGATCTTGATTATGAGGACCCCAAGATGAGGTTCCCCTACTTTTCGGAAACTCTAAGCCCTAAACCCTAAACCCTTTATAGAACCCTTATATATAGATCCCTTTAAGGAACCCTTAAAGGATCCCTCATTGTCGGAACCCCCTCCTACTTTTCGGAAACTTCCATCTTACTCCAAGAGCTCTACCAGGTTGACCTCGAAGTTGCTGAACCCGTCGAAGGAGGTGCTCGCTGCTTAGAGGGTTGAGGGTTTAGGGTTTAGGGTTGACGGTTGAGGGTTGAGGGTTGAGGGTTTAGGGTTTAGGGTTGAGGGTTGAGGGTTTAGGGTTTAGGGTTTAGGGTTGAGGGTTGAGGGTTTAGGGTTGACGGTTGAGGGTTGAGGGTTTAGGGTTGAGGGTTTAGGGTTGACTGTTGAGGGTTGAGGGTTTAGGGTTGAAGGTTTAGGGTTTAGGGTTGAGGGATTAGGGTTGAGGGTTGAGGGTTTAGGGTTTCGGGTTTAGGGTTTAGGGCAGGTTTACGGTATGGAAACTCTTGAATCTTGAATTCCAAACCTTAGGCCTTAAGCCGGTTTTTGCTCTAGCCTTTATGGCTTTTCCGTGTTCTGGGAGTTTTTTCGTTTTTTTTTTGCGGGCGTAGAGCGGGCTTTAGAAGGGCTCTAGGACCCGAGATGCACTATTCTCCAATTCAAGGCGGAACGTCTTGTTTCATCACAGCGTTTGGATTTCTTGTTTTAAGGTATAGAGTCTATAGGGCTGAGGGGCTTAAGGTTGGGGGTTCATGAAGCCGTCCTTTCTTTTCAGGCATAGTCAGAGTCTGTACAGGAAAAGTAGTGGCTTATGCTTATGGTGAAAGGGCGTGAGCTATTTTCTAAGCCTTTAAGCCCCTCAAACCTCAAACCTGAATCCCTGAATCTACTAAACCCCTAAACCGCTAAACCCCTAAACCTCTAAACCCTCATCTCGCCCGGATCGTCCGCAGTGACTGCTTACATAAACCCCTAAACCCCTAAACACTTGAACCGCTAAACCCCTAAAACCCTTGAGCCCTAAACCCTAGACACTTGAACCGCTCAACCCCTAAGCCCCTAAACCCTAAACCTTAAACCTTAAACCCTAAACCGCTAAACCCCTAAGCCCCTAAACCCCTGCAGAGCCTCTAAAACCTTCCGGGGCTGAAGGACCTGGCTAGTCCCCAAAGCCTCCAAAATCCCTTAATTAAGGAATATACCTTAAATCATATTAGGGATCCTATTATGATTTAAGGTATATTCCTTAATTAAGGGGTTTTGGAGGCTCTGGGTCGGTGTTTTGGGCTTCAGGGTTTACTATAGGGGCCTAAATCATTACCTATCCTGTTTTTTGGGGGGTCCATAATTATAGTATAATGGGCCCCGAAACCCTACTCTCATTTTTTTGGGCCCCTATATTAGGGTTCTGAGGGGGGTTGAGGGGTTTAGGGTTTGGGGCTCTTAGCGGGTTTGGGGTGAAGGGTTTAGGGGTTGAGGGTTGAGGGTTGAGGGTTCTGGCGCGTAGTGTCTAGGGGCTAGGGTTCGTACGGGGTTGCCATTGATTTTCCGGGGGTCACCTGTGTTTGTCTTGGCTATCGAGTTCTTGTGCTCTTGCTTGTTTGCTCTTGTTTTCAAGGTTTCGTCTTAGGGTGCAGGATGGGTCAGTAAGCACGTGGTTTAGGGTTTTAAGGGGTTTCCAGACCCAAAGCCCAGCACCTTAGGTTCTCGAGCCCTGACCCAAAGCCTATGCCTTCAAGAGCATGTAGCCCTATAAAGACCACAAAACCCTTTGATGAAGCCCTCATAAAGCAACATCAAGGCAGTGAAGAACTTGAATAGAAGCCTTATGATTTTTAGGAACCCGGTTCTTGTGACCCCTAGCAGCTCCACGACATCGGTTACGAGCTGATAATCGAAACCAAATGCGCATAGGAGTTCAAAATCCGCCTGAGTCAAAAATGCACATTGATCCATAGTGCTGAGCCGTGGTGCATGATGAACGCACATCCCCCCAAAAAATGTGTGAGGAGCTGTGGCACGATGTTTTCGGAGGTGTAAGCACGAGTCGCAGCCAACATATGCACGGCTCTGTGGTGGAAGCAGACGGACACACACGGGACTGTGGCGGTGCACCCGAAAGCATGTAATTGCGGCGACCACGATTTCGTAACCGGAGCCCTGTACCTGGTCGCCGTGTAATACCCTTTTACTTTTTCGGGAGTCTCCTTCCTTAACACTACTAGTATGAAAACCCTAAACCCTAAACTCCTTCTTAACACCACAAGTATGAGAACACAAAAACCCTTAAACTCCTTCTTAGCACTACTAGTATGAAAACCCTAAACCCCAAACCCTAAACCCCAGGCCACATCAATGAGGGTGACGGTCTGAGTGTTGCTTTGTAGTGTAGGCCGACGACGGCGGGCCCGAGACCTGCTCCAGCGGAGTGGATAAAGAGCCAATACACTTAAAACAAAAATCCTAAACCCTATAAACCCTAAACCCTAAACCCTGAACCCTATGAACCCTAAACCCCAAACCCTATGAACCCTATAAACCCTAAACCCTTATAAGCCCTAAACCCCTTGACGTTTAAGATAGGATACTGGGAAGCTTTTCGAGGCCTCGCCGCTACGAGGCGGTTGTGGATGGCGACGTGACGAAAGCGGCAAACGAGAAAGGCCGCGCCCGTATCTGTGAGAATTTAGGTTTAGGAGTTTTTGTTCAGGGCTTAAGGGTTTAGTTTAGTTTTTTTTTTATAGGGTTGTTTGGGGGTTCGTACAAGGGGGTTGCAAGGGTTTCCATATCTTTTCTTTTAATTATTCTTGTTTGTATGAGTCTCTGAGTGCTCCTGAGTGCTTCGGCTACCCCTAGAATCCATATATTGGCATCTTATGGTTTGCCTTAGATTTCTCTGCTGGGATCTTTACGAAGAGCCCTGAGGAAGGCCCAAGCAGTAAGGTAGAATTAACTAAGAGTGCTGTTATGCCCTACTTGTATCCTACTTGCTAAGTACCCCGAGCCTAAAACGCGCAAGCTGTAACCCGAAGCCCTAAGCCCCCTAAACCCTTATAAGCCCCAAGCCCTAAACCCTTATAAGCCCTAAACCCTGAACCCTTATAAGCCCTAAACCCTAAACCCTTATAAGCCCTAAACCCTAAACCCTTATTTGAAAGCCTGAAGCGAGCACAACACCAGAAAGGCTGCAGTGTCCCGCCACAACAAGCTAAAGACCTCAAAACTTAAGCCCTAAGCTCTTTAGGGTCTAGGATTTAGTGTTTCGGGCATGAGGCTCGGGATAATTAGTAAGAGTCTTCCCTGGTAGTCAAAACTATTGATGCAGTATCCTGTACCGCAAAATCGTAGTCTAGCTATGCAGCGACCCGATACTAAACCTTTATAGAAAACCTAGAGAACCGTAGAGTATTTCTTATGGAACCATTTGGGTCTCATACAGACCCTTTTAATGGCCCTAATTGAACCCTTGTAGGAACGCCAATTTATGAAGTTCTTGGAACTCAGAGTTCGTGGCTTGGAGTTGGGTTTTGATGATCCGAAGTTATTTCTGGTAAGGGTCTTAGGGTTTAGGGTTTAGCGTTGTTTCTTGTCAGGGTTCTAGGGTTTATTGCTATTTCTTGTCAGGGTTTCAGGGTTTGTTGTTATTTCTGGGTCAGGGTTTTAGGGTTTCAGGGTTTATTTCTGGTTAGGGTTCTAGGGTTTCAGGGTTTACTGTTATTTCTTGTACGGGTTTCCATGGTTTAGGCCATGGTTCCGAAGATGCATCAGGGGGCCCTGGGCTTCAAATCGCAAAGGCAAGCCATGTGGGAGTTTCCGAAAATGAGGGATCCTTTAAGGGTTCCTTAAAGGGATCTATATATCAGGGTTCTATAAAGGGTTTAGGGTTTAGAGTTTCCGAAAATTAGGGGTACCCTTTTTTTTGGGGTCCTTATTTTTAGGATCCTACTATTTAGGGTACATAATATTAGGGTCCCCTGTTTTTGGACACTCCCACATCCCCCAGCCCTGGCCTAAACCCTAAATCCTAAGCCCCAACACCTGAACCTGAAACAGTACTTGGAAGGGCAGGGGACTTAGTAAGTAGGTTATAAGTAGGGTTATAATTGGGGTAACTCCATTTAGGGTACTTATAACTCTACTTATAACCTACTTACTAAGTCCCCTGCCCTTCCAAGTAAAGCCTGCAAGTGCAGCTGTGCGAACCTGAAGATCTCTGGCAGAGTCCTTGTAGGCCCGCATAACCCATAGCAATTCTTATCAACTATGCCCTAAACTCAAAGGGGAAAAGGAGGGACCCTGAATAAGGACCCCTAGGTGTATACCCTTAATATAGCTATTATATACCCGTTGTAGAGCCCGTTCTAGGGTAGGGTCCCCATTAAGGGCTTTTTCCCTTTGCAGACCGTAAACCCGAACCCCAAGCCCAAGTCGTGCCTGAGCCCTCTCAAAGGCGCGTCCCTCGCCGACGTCCTTGAGGATGGAGCTGCGACCTCAGGGGTTTCATACTTGGAGGATCATGGGACTTGGGGTTCCTTAAAGGGTTCCTTAAGGGGCTCCGTTTAAAGGTTTCTATAACTATAAGGGGTCTCTAGGGATTTAGGGTTTAGGGTCTACTTGGAGGATCATGGGACATAGTAACTAGGTTTATAAATAAGGAAACTATACTTATAACTCCAATTAGGGTACTTATAACCTAACTTTCTAAGCCCCATGATCCTCCAAGTAAGGATTCTGAAAGGTTTAGGGCGTAGGCCCTGTAGACCCGAAACCCCAAACCCTACACTCCACACAATCAGCCCTTGTAGAAGGCTTGAAGGAGCCCTTAAAGAAGCCCCAAAATGAAAGGTTCAGGTTTCTGATACCGGATAGCCCGCCCAGTCTTAACTTTAGTATCCAGCGTACCAGTACCTCAAAGTAGTCAAAGGGCGTTGGAGTTCAACTCTCACCCTACACTCTAAACCCTAATGGGGTTTAGGTTTCATAAGGGCAGGGGTTTAGGGTTTAGGGTTCGGGACTTTGGGAGGAGTTCGTGGTTTACTTCAAGCATCAGCGAACTTAGTAAGTAGCTGCCTGAAAGGAGTTTAGGTTTTAGGGTAAAGGGTTTAGGGTTTAGGGTAAAGGGTTTAGGGTAAAGGGTTTTGGGTTTAGGGGTTTGGGTTTGGGGTTTAGGGGTCGGATCTTTATTGGGTTCTGTTTCTGCAAGAGCTTTCGCTGAAGAAGCAGCTTGTTTGCAGGGTCTCAGCAGAGCAATGCCATTTAGAATTCGTGCTTTCTTTGCCTGACAGTTCAGATTACCAGAGCAGGCAAGATGCGCCACATCGCGCCGCTACAAGTGGGACACCCTGAAACTCCAAGCCCTAAACCATATTGCTGGTGCCTCTTCTGATGCCCTGGATGAGCGAGAAGCTCTGTGTAATGAGGCATCCACTTCAGTTTCTCTGAAATGCTTGGAGTGTCAAACCTCCGAAACCCCTGTCCAATCAATACAGGGCCTAAATGGTTACCAATACTATTTTGGGGGGTGCTTATTACTTATCGTTATGAGTTATAAATATTATGTAGACAGACACCAAAGCCCTATTCTAGTTATTAAGGCCCCTATACTACACCCGCACAGTATCCCTCATGATACAGCAACCCTGAGAAGGAACACTTGCAGGAGCCCTTCTCTAATTATGCAGACCTCTATATTTCCCAGACTCTAGCAGGTGATGGCGGTTCAACACCCCTCGCGGAGAATTCACTCGACCCACTTTAGTTCCAACCGCCGGAGTCGCAGCGCAAAGCCCTGCGACAGCAGCCTAAAAAGCCTAAATCCTAGAACCTTGAACTGGGGTTATAATCAACTATAAGTATAGTTACCCTATGATCAAGCCTAATTAGGTACTAAGTCCAAAGACGGAGACCTAATTTTGGAAGACAGGCTTTGAGGAGACTCAGAAGAAGGAAGCCTCATAAGTGGGTCTCTCCCGGTGCTCGAAACTCAAATGTTGCACTGAGGTTGTGACACAGGAAGGCAGGTCTCATTCTCTCGGGTTAAGGTTCGGTTTAGGCTTTAGGGTCTAGGCTTTGGGCTGACAGTAAGTCTGTGCATCTTGTTTCCCACGTTGTCGTATTTGCTTCGGTGCATTCTATCAATCTGATTGTCCGCTCTTGTAAAGCCCTTAAGAACCGCATACTCGGCTACAAGTAGCTTTCTAAACCTGACACGACCACCCTGCTAAAACACAATAGGTGTTACAGGTATTTCGGCTGCTTTAGGCATTCATCTGGGCTCACAGCTTGTATTTGGCTTGATAACGTTCGAAATAAATGAAATGAGACCCTGCTGAAGGGGCACCGAAATTAGTGTAAAGGCACATGTATTTTCACGACAAACATTTAAACCATGCATCGAGCACGATCAAGCCAAGTAAGCGTCATAACTATAACACCACCATAAACTTTGCAAAGGGTCGGTTTAGAGTTTAGGGTTTAGGGGTTTTGGGTTTAGCGTAACTCCAAAGCTCTCCAGTCCTAAAAAGCCCTTTAGCAAGCCTAACACCCTAACATGCGAATCTCGGAGGAAACCCTAAACTTCACAAATTATTTCTGGTGCAGCCCCAGAGTATGCAGCCTCTAGTTCAGGGTTCAGGGTTTATAAGGCCGATGGTTGAGATCGCCCTGAAACCTACGCGCTAAACTCTTAGCCACAAACCTTGCGCACTAAACCCGCAACCTTGAACCCTAAACCCTAAATCCTTCTAGGATCCCTTAAAGGGACCCTTCTAGGAACCCTTAAAAAGCCCCTTCAAGAGACCCTATACTCTTACCCACCCGAGCCTTGGCAGGCATCTTTCCGGGTACGCTGCTATCCTCGGAATTGCTATCAGATGAGGCGCGCGCGCGCGCGTTTAGGTTTTAGGGTTTAGGGTTTAGGGTTTAGGGTAGGCGCACGCTGCTAGAATCCCACATTTTCATAGGGTCTTTAGAGGGTTTTTGTTGGTTGACAGGGGTCGTCGTAAGGGGTTTATCGGGTTTCTGTGAATTCTGAAAGGTTTAAAGGGTTCTGCTGTTCTATAAAGGTTCTCGACGGTTTAGGACAAGTCTTTCCATTCAGGGTTTAGGAGAGTTTAGGCTTTAGGTTCGGGGTTTAGGGTGGTTTCAAAGTTCCGCAAAACTGAGAATTTATCGCACTGGGTTTGGATGTCCTTCGACGCCACACACCCTGAACCTGCAATGAGCCCCGTAACACCCTAAACTACCCCCCAAATCATAAGCCCTGCCTTAACCCAAAATAGCCTACCTTTTCTAAGAGCTCTTGTAAGGAAATCATAACAGGGAGCCCTAAACAAGCCAGGTTATTAAACCCTGATCGCTCCGATCGTGAAGCTTGAAGTGTAAAACCCAATGAATGCATCATCAACCTACAAACCCTAGGCCCCACATCTCTGGAAGACTGAAGCCCCAAACTCGGAACCTCCAAGCCTTGGAACACCATACCCTGAATCCTAAACCTTAAACCCTAAACCCTAAATCCTAAACCCTAAACCCCTAAACCTTAAACCCTAAACCCTAAATCCTAAACCCTAAACCCTAAACCCTAAACCCTAAATCCCTAAACCCTGAAACCTGAAATCCGGAGCCGCGAGCAAGCTGTAGACCTGTACAGGAAGCCGCCGACGTGGGCCACGCCGACGCCAAGAAGAAGGGCAGTAAGGCCAGGTTTAGGCTTTAGGGATTTCGGGTTTAGGGATTAGGGTTTAGGGATTTAGGGTTTGGGGGTTTGGGGATTCGGGTCTGGGGATTTAGGGTTTAGGGGTTTGGGGATTAGGGTTTAGGGATTTAGGGTTTAGGGTTTAGGGATTAGGGTCTAGGGATTTAGGGTTTAGGGTTTAGGGATTAGGGTTTAGGGATTTAGGGTTTAGGGTTTAGGGTTTGTTCATGTAAGCAGTCACCGCGGAGGATCCGGGCGAGATGAGGGGTACCTACACCCCAAACCCTAAACTCAACATGGGAAATTGTGCTTGTCTTTTGACTAGAGGGCCGCTGGTTGCATCTTAAGCTTAAACCCTGAGTTTCGAGTCGTCCCCCCAAGGGTCCAAGTAGATCCTAACACCGAGTACCTAATTATTGGATCCGTTGGACCCTTGGGGTACCATAGAACTCTTAAAGAACCCTTAAAGGGACCATTATAGTACCCTTATAGTATCAGTGTAGAACTCTTAAAGAACCCTTACAGGGACCATTATAGTACCCTTATAGTATCAGTGTAGAACTCTTAAAGGACCCTTAAAGGACCCCTTGGGGCTCCACTCCAGCGTTGTGTTCTGTTTTCGACTGCAGCCTCGCAGCTGGGGTGTTTCGGGGTTTAGGTTCTGGGCCCAAAGCCCCAGAACGAAGCCCTAAACCCTTAAACCCTAAACCCTCATAAGCCTTAAACCATACGTCTACAAGCTCCAGAAACCTAGGACGCGCAGCATTACACCCCTCAAGCCACTTAAAGGAGCCCTGAAGGAACCGTTCAAAAAACCCTCCAACAAATCCTAAACTTGACGGTGTACTGCTTAGGGTTTAGGCCTCAAACCTTCAAACCTTAAACACATCCTTAACTCAAGCCCATATTTTCCGCACTGGAAACCCAAAATTCAATTCCCCACCCTAAACACTAGACCCGAAGCCCCTAAACCCTAAACCCCTAAACCCCTAAACCGCCTAAACCCTAAACCCGAGAAGCCCCAAAAGATCCCTTGAAGGAAGCCCTTAGGGTTCTTTTAATTAGGGTTTAGGGTTTAGGGTTTAGGGTTTAGGGTTTAGGGTTTAGGGTTTAGGGTTTAGGGTTTAGGGTTTAGGGTTTTAAAGGAAGCCCCCAAAAATTAAACTTCCCGTCCTTGGGTCCGAGGCTCTCCGGCGAGGTCCCAAGTCCCGCGTGGCGCTGGAGGCGCGATTTAGGGCATATAAGGGTTTAGGGTTTGGAGTTCAGGGGTTTTAGGGTTTAGGGTTTCAGGGTTGTAGGGTTTGGGGTTTTAGGTTTTTAGGGTTTAGGGTTTCAGGGTTTTAGGGTTAGGGTTTTAGGGTTTAAGGGTTTTAGGGTTTTAGGGTTTAGGGTTTTAGGGTTTAGGGTTGAGGGTTTAGGGTTTTAGGGTTTAGGGTTTTAGGGTTTAGGGTTTAGGATTCCCCTGAACTCTAAACCCTGAACCTTGAAAGCCTTAATTTCTAAACCCTGAACCTTAAACCTTAAACCCTGAACCCTAAACCCTGAACTTCAAACCCTAAAACCTAAGCCCTGAAGCTTGAGCCTTAAATCCTGAACTCTAAACCCTAAGGGCATAAATTATCAGCCCAGGTAACTATACTTGTATTTACTTCTAACCCCAGTTAAGGTACTTACAACTGTACTTGCTCAGTCCCATGATCCTCCAAGTTTTCCTGCCTTTAGAGCCCTTGCAGGGGTCAACCAGGTTTCAATAGGGGGTTCTGGGATGTAGCAAGTTTCACAATGCTATCAGCTTGTAGACGGCAGATGAGCAATAAGTTCTGTTGGAAGTTCATTACAAATTTTACGAGCGTCCTTCAGCGGATGTTCAGGGCTTCAGGATTTATATATATATATATACACACGGTTTTTGCCTCGATGTAGGGTTTAACATAGACTCCTGATGAAGCCACCCCCTTCTTTAAAAGTTTGCAGTGGTGACCTCATAAAAAGTCTAGGCCCTTTAAAGAAGCGAGGCCCGTCAATCAGGAGCCTACGGCAGTCCTTTCAACTCAACGACGGGTGAGCTTGCAGATGTGATGTTGCCAGTAGATCACAAGATATGCAGAAATATATCCAACAAACCCTACATCCTAAGCAACAAACCCTAGATCCTGCACCCTACACCCTAAACCCTCAACCCTAAGCCCTAAAATCAAAGAAGTCCTCAACGCCTGGACCAGGTGGCCGAGGGAAAGTTCGGGCCTAAGTGTGACAGTGCTATCGACAGGCTTTAGGCTTTCAGGGTTCAGGGTTTAAGCTTTGAGGGCTCAGGGTTTAGTGTTGGGTGTCAACAACCCTAGACCCCAAAGCCTTATTGTAAACCCCAGAAAGTTGGAAACCTAATTAAGGACAAATCGTGCAGGGATTCCCTATGCTTTGCTCTTAGGGATGGAGGCCATCGGGTTTCCAACTTTTAGGCTTCTGCTGTAAGTGCGTGGTTGTTCAGATAAGGGTCCCTCTCTGGTTCCCTGATTTATTACGGCACTTATTATTTAAAACCCTAAACCCTAAACCCTAAACTTTAGGGTATCCAAAAAGGCACCTTAATTTTGACAACTGCCCAAGTTCTACGGTTGATGTTATATATCCTACATTACCCATAATAATGAATATACCATAATTCCCATAGTTTAGGGTCCTTAAGGTAATGCAGGATTTCTATCATCAACCGTAACACACCATTTGATTCAGCACACGTCGAGCCAGACTGCGGCTCAGAAGGCGGGACAACTAACGAGGGAATAGCGGACGTGGTTGTCAAAATTATGGTCCTTTTTTGCGCACCCTAGGGTAAGTTTGCTTATAGCCCATGTTAGGGGACTTATAGCCCTACTTATATGGATTTAAGGCCCCTTTTTGGGCACCCTAAGTATTAGGTTCCGTAGTATAATAAGGACCCAAAAAGGGACCCTCATACTGACAACCAGCCACTAGCCTTATTGGGACAGTTTTCCAAGTTACGCTACGCGGAGGGTAACCTAAACCCTAAATCTTAAACCCTCAGCCTAGTAGGTCGGCTCTGGACAGAGTCGGACAGAGTCATAGGTACCCTAAAGTACTACTACTTGGAGGATCAAGGGTCGAGCAAATGGGTGGAGCGGTTTTCACGCACCCTCTGACGGTAACTTAAGCACAGCCTAAACCCTAATCCCCAGGGGCCCGGTTGGCGCAAACCTTGGCCCAGAAAGTCTGATGGTCGAGATGTGCCATAAGGTCGGGGAAGGGGATTACATAATGGCTATGATTATCACATCATGCCTATGACCCTAAACCCCATGCCATACAACACCGACGCCTAATCCCCAAACCCTCGTCCCCCCCGTGATACGCCAGGCTTGAAAAGCTTTTTGAGGCCGCAGAAGCAGACAACACCACCGTGGCTCTGGCGGGGTACTGCAAGTCATGCAACCAGCGGTCTGTGGCGCTGGCATGCTTGCTCCGCATGTCCGGCGTACAGCTGGGCATTGTGGTCACTGGGATCTGCTCAGGGCAACCGCGACAGGTCAACTTCTCCCACGACGTTACTTAGGGGTACTTAGAAATCATTTTTAATTTTTGGTTATTATAATCCCCAAGAAACAGCTAAAATTATAACTTTTGCTAGGGTTCTAAGTTCAGTATAGGTTATGCTCATGCCGTCGGAGGCAAAACGAAGGGCTGGGGATGCTTGGAAGCATCGTTCAAGCTAAAGGCTTATTTCAATCAGTTCTCGGGGCTTTACATCCCCAAGGCTCTACAGAGGACTCACATGTTAAGGCTTTTGGGCCCGAAGGGCAGACAACTGAACGTTTTTGAGCTATTTTGAGCCGTAGGGCACTCTAACTTTTTCAGGGCCGGGATCGATTTTGATTTGTAATCCTAGGCCCAACACCCTAAACCCCTAGACCCGAAACCCCTGAACCCCTAAACCCCTAAACCTCTAAACCCAGGCACGGGCATCACATTCCTGCGCACAGTATAGCTAGAATAGGGTTCAGTTTGCGTTTGGGGTTTAGGGTTTGGGGTGTTCGTTTAGACGCTTCTTTCAAGGTTCCAGAAGGCTTATGAGAACGGATAAGAAGGATAATATGTATATATATATATATATATATATATGTGTATTACAAAGGTTGCCATAAGTTTAGTATGTGGGAGCTAGAAATTGCACTACCAGGATATGTGGTATGCTCTAGTATGTCATGGCCAAACACTCTGGGGACATTCTAGAATTATTTCTAATGTACAGGCAGTGCACATCATGCATCGTTGAGGAGACTGAAAAGATCCGAATCCGGTATCTACACGGCCGACACCGTAAATTCTTCTGCCTGTAGTCCCGAATTCCAAGGTATCGCATGGTTCGCCGGATGCTCTACACATGCGGGCACGAAGTGCTGATGCCTCGGCTTGTATTCCTGAACCGGGCATTTGGCCCTGAGCCTTAGCTCTTTGAATCTGAGGCTCTGGGGAAATGTAAACAAAAAGCTTCACGGGCTTTTTACGGTTGCAAACCTCAGCGCTGAACTCCAAACCTTACACCCGAAAAAGCCAAAGCTTTAACACCCGCCCAAACCTCACAAGTGCTGCGACGATGCCATATGCTCTTGTTGAATATTCGGGATTAGGGCTTGTGATCTTGATGCCAAACAGGAAAAGCTTTGTTGTTGTGTGCACCGAAGCCTGAAACACGGCCTGCAGAACATGGCCCCTTAATGCCTCGTCGAGACTTTGGGGTACTAAAAAAAAGTTTTGAATCTTTGGTTACTATAATCCCTAAGAAACAGCTAAAATTATAGTGTTTGCTAGGGGTTTAAGTTCAGTAGAGGAGACCCCAAAGAGCCCAATACCCCTTGATTAATCAATATGGCTTAAACCATAATATGAATCCCCTTATCATTTAAGGTATATTCCCCAATTAAGGGGTCTTAGAATTCCCTAAACCCTAAACCCTATAGATCCCTTTAAAGGAACCCTAGGTATCTTCCTTGATTCAGGGGATTAAGGGGCATTGGGCTCTCTGGGACTCTAGAGCTTTCTAGATCCCGGCCACCTGCAAGGCACCGCTGATGCGATTTCCAGCCCCTCGGTCCTCTGCCCTAAACTTAGGGGCCCCCAAACGCACATAAGCACAAGCATTTTATGGGGATATCCCTATCTTAATGGGATTCATTATAAGGGGGTTTATATGGGATATCCCTATCGTAATTTTTGCTTCTGTGCTTTTTTGGGGCCCTATAAACTAAAACCCTTACCCTGAACCCTACACCCTAAACTCCTAACCCCTAAGCCTTCATGGAGCCCCAAACCTCAGCGCCTCAAGCCCCAAACCATGAAAATCCCAAACGCGTGAAGGCTTCAACCCCCGAATCTAGGAACCTGATTAAGAAAACCAGGGCCTATAACCCCAACATAGCAGGATTCATATAAGGCACCCTTATAAAGGCCCAAGGTTTCTTAATCAGGTTCCTCCAACAGAAACCCTATATGGCAGTTTCCGAAGATAGGGGACCCTAATATAGTACCCTGAATACTAGGATCCTTATTATAAGGACCCCAAGTTCCTGCATTAGAGCCCGACGCCCTGCGACCTGAAGCCTAGATGTCTTAAGCTCGAAGTCTCCCAAAAAGTCCCTTAACCCTTTTTTCCCAGAGAACCCAATACCCCTTAATTAAGGAATAGACCTTGAACCATAATATTAAGCCCTCTATAATTTAAGGTATAGTCCTCAATTAAGGGGCATTGGGATCTTTGGGTATGGACTCTTAAAGGAAACCTAAACCCTAAACCTCTAGAGGAACCCCTTTAATGGATCCTTGAACCCTTTAAAAGAACTTGTTAAAGGAGCCCTTAAACCGCTGAAGTCGGAGGCCTCACAAGGTGGGATGAAGGTAGCTGGGATTAAGGATCCCTTATATAAGGACTCTTATTTGGGAGTTTCCGAAAATATGTGACCCTAAGATAGTACCATAATAGGATCCTTACTATAAGGGCCCCAAAATAAGGTACCCTAATTTCGGAAACTCCCATTTAGGAATATCCCACCTACCTTCATCCTACGGTTGATGATATAAATCTTGCATTACCTTAAGGACCCGAAACTATGGGAATTATGGTATATTCCTTATTATGGGTCATGCAGGATTTATATCATCAACCGTACCTCTTGACTCTGAAAGGAACCCTAAACCCTACTTGGAGGGTCGGGGGACTTAGTAACTGGTTATTTTAGGGACTTATAAGTACCATAGCCCCAATTAGGGTCCCTTTTAGGGTACTTATAAGTCTACTTACTACCTACTTACTAAGTCCCCCGACCCTCCAAGTAAACCCTAAACCTGCTGACGACCCAGGGTCGAGCTTCACCGAACCAGCTACGGGGCGATCTCCCTGGGAGATCTCCAGGTACCTTTTACCCAGAGTTTAGGGTTTAGGGGTTTAGGGTTTTAGGGTTTTAGGGTTTTGGGTTTTAGGGTTTTAGGTTTTAGGGTTTTAGGGTTTAGGGGTCTCTGAGATCGTGAACGGGGGGGAACTTTAAACTCTTTGGCCTTATATATTGGCTCTATCTTAGAAAGCTTGAACTTTTTGGGGCCGGGTTGTTGAAGAAGAGAGTCTAAGGGTTCCTTTTAAGGGTTCCTTTCAAGGGTTCCTTTAAAGGATCTATAGAATGTATGAGGCTTCCTTTAAAAGCATCACTGGGAATTTCTTTTAGGGGTTTAAGGGTAGAGGGTTTAGGATTTTGGACGAAGGGCATTTCGGGGGTACCTTTTAGGGGTTTAGGGATGAGGATTCAGGATGTTTGATAAGGGGCTGTCGCAGGGCTCTCTAAGGTTGCTGGGTTAAGGGTCTAAGATTTTAGGTAAGGGCTATTACAAGGGTTTGTTGAAGAGGCTGCTTGATGGGTTGCTTTTGAGGGTTCTCTTAAAGGTTCCGCTAGGGTTCCGTCGCTAAAGGCTAAAGGCTTCTTGTAAGGGTTGCCGATGAGGGGTTTACGAATATTGGTTTTGTAATATAGAAGCTGAATACAAAATGAAAGTATTTCTTAGGGTTCGGTATTAACGTACTACCGCGATATAACTAACACGCGATTTTAATTATTACGGCGCCTGCACTACTGTCATGCAAATGTATACAAATAGATAGGTAAACGAATATGAATCGGTAGCTGAAATATCAAGCAAAACACATCAGACATAAAGCATTACGGAATGTAACAAAATTTTGCGAAGATATACGTTGCGTGTACGTAGATACATGCCCCATGCATACATGCATACATGCGTAAATGCAGCCATGCATAAATGCGTACATGCATACATGTATATGTATATGTATACATATATATGTGTATATCTATATATGTATACATACATATATGCACACACACGCCCTTGTATGCGTTCTTACATATGCACATACATGCATACATACATACATACATGCATGCATATACGTATATGCATACATACATATATGTTTAGATATCAACCTAATGCGAGGCCAAAAAATACCGCCGTATCTGCAGCCAACTGAAATTAAACACCAAGTGAAACAGAGCGGGAGCACACATCGAGTGCTCTCAACCAGCCGGCGAGCTCTCAACACCATTAGTCCGAAGAGGAGAGCTAGTGGGGCGCAGCAAGCGCCAGGCGCAAAAACGGCAGAGAGCTCTATTTACACCCTAAACTCTGAAACCTGAAACGGTTTAGGGTTTAGGGTTGAGGGTTGAACCCCTAAACCCTAAACCCTAGACCCTGAAACCTGAAACTCAGAAGACTCGGGTGGAGGTCGGGTGCGTCGAGCGTGTGACACCACAGGAGGCACCCGAAGTTCTTGTTGCTTTCGGTTTACCCAGAGAGCCCAATACCCCTTAATTAAGGAATATACCTTAAATAATAAGGGGATTCATATTATGATTCAAGCCATATTCCTTAATTAAGGGGTATTGGGCTCTGTGGGTAGGGGTTTAGGGTTGCTTGAATTAAAAGAAGTCCTCCAGGGGCTTACAGGGTTCCTTTAAAGGGTCCTAGAGGGTTTAGGTTTTGCGTGTTTAGATTGGTTTTTGAAGTGGTTTTCATTGAGCCTTAGCTCACTAATTCAAGTTGTAAGTATATGGTCTTTTCGCGTCTTTTCAAAGCGAGGTGTTCGTAGGTTTTCGTTTTAGATCGGGCTTGCATGGGTTTTCCAGACATACTCATGTGGCTGTCAGAAGTTTCACATTGAACACGGGATTTCTAGAGGGTTAGTGCGTCGCAGGCCTTCCGGATATGCTAGATCTCCCATAGAGGGGATTTAAATAGAATCTTCTGTAGGGATATTCATATTCAAGGGCCAACCTTGTTAAACCTAAATCTTATTGTTGCTGGCAAGGATCTCGCATGACAAATCATCACGAATACAGCCGCAACTCCCATAGAGTACGGCAAAAGAGAGATTATCGAGGCATGAAAAAACTGATTCGAAAACTTAAACTCTAAAGTCCTCACCATAGGCCCTGATAGGAGCCTTGGAAGAACCCTGTGCAGGAACCTGTCCTAAATTTTCAACCCCCAGTTCCAACGCAAGATTTTTGCCCATCAGCCGTACTTTTGGATTCTCACAGCATCGAGGTTTTTGAGCGAAGGATGGGTTTAGGGTTTAGGCGGCGTAGGGTTAGGGCTCTTTCTACGTCCAATGACGCTCCGACTACTGTGTGGGGGTTTACAGTTGCTAGTTTTTTTTGGCTCCGCGAGCTTTCCGCGACGCGTGAAAGTCACACAGGAGCTCTTCTTCAGTCCACTCCTCCACATCCTCTACAACCTGAAGCCTAAACCCCAAAGCCCTAAACCTTATTCTTGGTTAGTAGGGAATGGAAGAATGGTAGTAATAGTAGTTATAATTGTACACCATTCCTCCCTTCCCCAAGAACCCCAAGGCCCTAAACTCAGGGCAGAGGTGGGAATTGAGGGCGTAAGCCCTAAACCCTAAAAGGTAATGTTTTGGGTGGTAGCCTGTGTAAGCTCACAGCGGGCGGGAAAAGAAACAAAAACCAATTTGTAATTGTTCGGTGGTGAAATCACAGTTTAATGCTAAACGAAGATATGCCGCCCCCCCACACCCCTGGGAGTGTTGGGGCGCCATCCTACATTGAAAATACTGCCGCTGCGCGGCCCTAAACCCCAAACCCTAAACCCTAATCCCTGATCCCTAAACTGTACTCTACCGCTTTGTTTCCGGGATGCAGGGCTTTTCTCCCACAAGTGTTTTTTTCCCTGCAGCTGTCGGCTTCAATGTATGCATGCATTCACAGTTGTGTCCTATAGCACCTTAGGGCTGAAGTTTGTTGGATCCTCCCTCATCCCTAATCCCTAACCCCAACTCCCTAATCCCTCAGCCCTAATCCTTAATCCCTAATCCCTAATCCTTAAACCCAAAACCCCAGTGCTAGTTCAAGGCAGACTGGGCGCTTCGGCTCATGGAACCGAAGCGGGCGGGGGCACCGAGCGCACGCTCGAATATTCAGGAGTTTTAGGGGTTTTAGGGTTTAGGGTGTAGGGTTTCAGATTTTAGGGTTTAGGGTCCTACGAATATTCAGGAGTTTTAGGGGTTTGAGGGTTTAGGGTTTCAGGTTTTAGGGTTTAGGGTTCTAGGAGTGTTAGGGTTTGGGTTTGGAATATTCAGGAGTTTAGGGGTTTTAGGGTTTAGGGTGTAGGGTTTCAGGTTTTAGGGTTTAGGGTCCTACGAATTGGGGGAGTTTAGGGTTTAGGGTTTGGGTTTTAGGTTTGAGGGTTTAGGGTTTCAGGTTTTTGGGCTTAGGGTTCTAGGAGTGATAGGGTTTGGGTTTGGAATATTCAGGAGTTTAGGGGTTTTAGGGTTTAGGGTGTAGGGTTTCAGGTTTTAGGGTTTAGGGTCCTACGAATTGGGGGAGTTTAGGGTTTAGGGTTTGGGTTTTAGGTTTGAGGGTTTAGGGTTTCAGGTTTTTGGGCTTAGGGTTCTAGGAGTGATAGGGTTTGGGTTTGGAATATTCAGGAGTTTAGGGGTTTTAGGGTTTAGGGTGTAGGGTTTCAGGTTTTAGGGTTTAGGGTCCTACGAATTGGAGGAGTTTAGGGTTTAGGGTTTGGGTTTTAGGTTTGAGGGTTTAGGGTTTCAGGTGTTAGGGTTTAGGGTTCTAGGAGTTTTAGGGTTTGGATCTTTTAGATATTGGGTTCAGGTCTAGGTTTCGGGCTCAGGGTTTTAGGTTTTAGGGTTTAGGGTTCTAGGAGTTTTAGGGTTTAGGGTCTGGGGTTTTAGATAGACTGTGGTATTCTTCTGCGAGCCATGGCAAAGAAATCATGGCCTTTGGGATGACATACGGTGAAGTTGGCGCAGCTTTTGTTTGGTTCCGACATTCCTTTTCGGAACTACTCAGACAGACTGCCGCACGCATCAGAGAGCTCATTCCTTCTATTCGCCGAATGCGCCTGTGCAGAGGGAACAACTGGATCCTCGAAGCCCAGCTCAAAACCACAACACACTTCAAGCCCTGGGCCCTGAGCTTCAGTTTATGTGATGGAGAACAGCACATCAGCTGTGAGGGGGCGTAAGTCATTCATATGTAGAGTTGCAACTAGGAGATCACATACTCGGGTACCTGTAGCTCCCTAAGGGTCCATGTGATCATACAGTATGTGTTTTGGCTCTAACGTACTTATGTTGGAACTGCATAGAGTAGGTAAGCTTTATGTTTCGGATACAGTTTGCAGGGCTCTTGTTGAGGATCCTATGATGTAGGGATGGCATTGGCATCATAGAAGAGAGAAGGAAGTATGTTGGATACTGCCCTCACTGAGTAGCAATAGGATGCTATGAAGAATGTAGATATACACGACGCCCCTAAACCCTAAACCCTTAGACCTAAAACCTAAGCCAACTGCCATTGTAGTGGGGGGGCAGTACCCAACAAGTACGTTCTGGCGCAACCTATCCCTTCCATCTTTCCCCCGATCTTCGGCAATCCCTTAAGTACGGCAGATCCTACCATAATGAAAAGCCCTAGTCAAGGAATATACTGTAAATCATATCAGAGATCCTACTACAATTTAAGGCATATGCGTTAATTCCCTTATAGAACCTTTATAGATCTCTCTAAGAAAATCCTTTAAGGAATTCTTAGGTGTATATTCCCTAATTCAGGGGCTTTGGATCATCTGGGTGGCGATTCTGCTCGACTTTCCGACAAGCGCTAAAGGCCTAGATCCCAAAGCTTCAGATTTGCCGTCTGGGGTTTAGGGTTTAGGTTTGAGGGTTTAGGGTCTAGGGTTTAGGGGTTTAGGGTTTAGGGGTTTAGGGTTTAGGGTTTAGGGGTTAGGGTTTAGGGTTTAGGGTTTAGGGTTGAGGGTCCTCGTACACCCTCAACCTCATAGGGTAAGATCCTTTGATTACATCGAATCGATTCAGCACGAGTGCGGAGTTGCTAGAACCACTGCTGCATGCCTCGTATAGGGGCCTAGGTAAGCTTCATATAGGCCTTACAAATACCAATGTTCTTCCTTAGGGTTCCTCATTGCCATCATAGCTTAACATACACCGAAACTTGATTTTAGATATTGAGACCCCTACATTAAGCTAAAGAAGCTCTAAACAGTCAAAGCGTAAACCCTGAACTTTACAAGCCTTAGACCCTTATACAACCCGTGTAGAACCAGGCTAAAACCTGTAGGGATCCCAATCGAACCCGACAGAGCTCTGAACCCACAGCCGCAAACCCTTTAAATCTTAAGCCCTAAATCCTAAACCCTAAACCTTAAATCCTACACCCTGAACCCTAAGACCTAAACCCTAAACCCTATCCCACAAACCCTAAATAAACCCAAAAGCCCGGAGAAGCCAGGCGGCATGAATGGAGCCCTCCGTCCTTCCAAGCCGGCACTTGCAGGTTCTTAGTTACTGCGATTTAGAGTCCCTTTCAAGGGGTACCATAGGGCTATCATAGGGTTCCCTTTAAGGGCTTGGGGTTTAGGGGTTTAGAGTTGTAAATAAGGTATCTATACTTACTGTATACTTAGCGATAACGCCAGTTCAGATACTTATAGCTGTACTTATAAAGACTCATGAACCTCTAAGCAGGGGGCGAAAGGGCTGGAAGATGAGGGGCATTGGATTGAGGGCTTTGGGCTAAGGGCGAGTGTCGGATTTCCTGTAACAGGTACGATTTAGGGTTCAGGGTTTCTTAGGGGTACTTAGAAATATCTTTAAATCTTTGGTTACTCTAATCCCTAAGAAACAGCTAATATTATATTTTTTCTAGGGGTCTAAGTTCAGCATAGCTTTAGGGTTTTGTGTTCTGAGTAGTAGGTGGCAATATTGCCGCAGACTCCCAGTGCAGCTCCCCAAAGCCGTAGTTATTGTATCAGGCGATACTAAGACTACAGGCGGTTTGGGGTGAAGAAGCGTGGATGTGGTGCACGTGTCTTAAATTGCAGTTTTTAGGGCTGTAGTGTCTAGATTTCAGCAATTTTGTGCGCTTGATGCTTGGCTGTCTAAAGTTGGAATATGATTATCCTAAACCCTTCATGGTAAATTATAGGGTATCCTACCCTGAAACCATATTCCAACTTTCTGGAGTTCCCTTTAAAATAAGGACCCCTAGGTATATACCCTTAATATAGCCACTACATGCCCATTATATAGCCTGTTATAGGGTAGGGGTCCCCATTAAGGGACTGCTTGATGCTTGGCTGTCTAGGCTCAGAGGCAAGTCTGTTTGCGGTCCCTTCCACTGAGTTCGGTCTCTGAGGCCTCGCGAGGACCGGCCTTCAAGAGGTCCCGTCCTCTGTGCTTCTTTCTATTTGGGAGCCGGAATCATTGCCAATACGAATCCCTAGAGTTTCCTCTCATGTGTGTCTTCGTACCATAGTCTACCCCAAAGCCCTATTCAAATTACTAAGGCGCCCTGTGCTATTCAGTTTTCAGTTTCACCTCGCCAGAACTGGCGTCGTGAGCTCATGCCTTCCTGCATCTTCGGAAAGCCACGTCGGACCCCGCTGGAAATCCATGGCCGGTCGCTGCCTGACGATGCAGACGCCACTTGGCATCACCCCAGATTCCCAAACCCTAAACCCCTAAACCTTAACCCCAAAGCCTCTAAACCCTAAGCCCTAAACCCTGCACCCTTAAACCCTACACCCCTAAACCCCCAAACCCTAATCAGGGTTGAAGTCCTGCCTCACCTACTCCCTGGTGCTTAGTAGGGAATGGGGGAATGGGTTCTGGAGACTACTATTGGGGATTATATGGGAGTTTCTGAAATGGGGGAGCCTACTAGAGTACCCTCAATAGTAGGATCCTGAATAACAGGGCCCCAAAATAAGGTACCCTAATTTTCGGAAACCCCCATATAGGCGGCTACTGAAGGGATCCATTCCCCATACTCTACTTCTTGGAGGGTCGGGGGACTTAGTAACTGGTTATGTTAGGGACTTATAAGTACCGTACCCCCAACTAGGGTCCCATTTAGGGTACGTATAAGTCTACTTACTACCTACTTACTAAGTCCCTAAACCCCTAAACCCTATAGTACGCTTATAGAGCTTTTTAAAGGAGCCCTTATCATCCCCTTTAAAGGAGCCCCCTACTTACTAAGTCCCCTAAAGACCCTCCAAGTAATTCTTTAGGACCCTATATCTTTAGGGAACCCTTCTGGGCCCCTTTAAAGGAATCCTTATAGATCCCCTTAAAAGGAACTCCCTTTAAAGGAACTCCCTTTAAAGGAACTCCCTTTTAAAAGGAACTCCCTTTAAAGGACAGCCCTAGGGGTCCCATGGGAAAGTTTAGGATTACTCCTAAGCCATTTACAGGTGGGTAGTTCTAAGGGTTTAGGGTTTAGGGTTTCGGGTTTAGGGTTTAGGGTTTCGGGTTTAGGGTTTAGGGTTTAGGGTTTAGGGTTTAGGGTAGTCTCCCATAAGCCTTCCATACCACTCCTATAAGGTAAAGGGGTCTTATGGGAGTACTATGGAAGAGGAACTACCCACCTGTAATGGGCTTCTATTACTCCAGCATTGAGAGAGCTGTGCGCTCGAGCATTGCCGGAAGCAGCATCTAAACCCTAAGCCCTAAACCCTAAACCCTACATCCTAAAACCTAAATCGTAAATCCTAAATCCTAAACCCTAAACCTGCTCTGCTTATGATGTATATTGAAACCTTAATGCCCCATGGGGCTTCGTTTAGGATCCTTTTTGTAGCCTGTATTGGGGGCTTAGGATTCTGGGCTTAGGGTTTAGGATCCAGGGCTTAGGTTTTAGGATTCAGGGCTTAGGGTTTAGGATTCAGGGCTTTGGTTTAGGATTCTTTTCGTAGCTAGTACTGAAATCATAAATCATAAATCCTAGATTTTGAATCCTAGATCTTCGAATCCTAAGTCCTAAATCCTAAGTTTAGGAGTCTTTTCGTAGCTAGTACTGGGAGCTTAGGGGTACGAATCCTAAACCCTAAATCCTAGATCCTAAATCCTAAATCTTGAATCCAAGATCCGAAATCCGAAATCCTAAATCCGAAATCCTAGATTTTGAATCCTAAATCCTGAATTCCTCTCTTTTGGGCTGCAACTGTAAATCCTAAACCCTAAATACTAAATGCTAAATCTTAAGTCCTAGTTCCTAAATCTATAAATCCTGAATCCTACATGCTAAATCTTGAATCCTAAACCTAGATCCTAAATGCCGGATGCGTAGGATTCGAATCCTAAACCCTAAATCCTAGATCCTAAATTATTATCTTAAATCCCCAATGGTAAATCCTAAGTTCTAGATCCTGAAATCCTAAATCCTAGAGCCTAAATCCTAAATCTTGGGATCCTAGATCCCGCGGCTTACGCAGTTTTGTCTGCCCATGGTGTGTACAACTTAAGTTTAACATTAACAGAACTTGAGAGTGTCACGTAATTGCCTGCCCACGGTGTGCACAACTTATCTTGAACAGAACTTGAGAGGGTCAAGTCATTGTCTGCCGATGGTGTGTCAGTTTTCCTTGAAAAGAGCTTGAGCAGGCTACGCAATTGACTGCCCATGGTGTGTACAATTTAAGTTTGACAGAACTTGAAAGGTTTTGGCAATCGTCTGCCCATGGTGTGCGCATCCTAAATCCTAGATCCTAAATCCTGAATCACAACCCTAAGGGTCCATGTACCCATATACTAGATACTTGTGCTCTAAAGTACCTGTATAGGGACTACTTTAAGGCCCATGTATATACTATGTAGGTACATGGACCTTTAGGGTAAGTCCAAGATCCTAAGACCCAAATCCTGAATCGGAGGGTTTTCGAGAATTATTGAATGTTTCAACAACTGTAACATCTGTGTGTAAAGTAGCAGTCTTACACTGGGTTGGGAAAAGTCGGAGGTAGAGCCTAGTCTGAGTCTTCAAGGTTGAGGGCTAAGTACTAAATTTAAATCCTTGTGTATACCGGTGGTTCTCTTTCAGGTGATGTGGTTTTGTCGGTTGGGTTTAGACAGAGAGCTTAGCCATAGTGGCAGATAAGCTTTGTGTAGATCTGGCTGAGCTAGAAGTTTCAATCAGCACTGTGGCAAAATAAAACTGGGATGGGAGGAGCATCGAGCGAAACATGATGAAGGTTTCAAACGAAATTATGAATATGTATATCGCCAATGAAAAGGATTCTGGGAGGGTGGGTGACTTCCAACACGATAATAAATTGATCCTAATAACACTTCAAGGACCGGAGTTGCTGAACCCTAAACCCTAAATCCTAAACCCTAGAAGATTTCCTCGGCTCAAGCCCCTGCGATGCTTTTCCCACCCTCAGTCCTGAAACCACTCTAATTACAAAGGCCCTTATATGGGAGTTTCCGAAAATAGGGGACCCTAGTATAGTATCCTAACTAAATGGTAGGATCGGTATTATCAGGACCCCAAAATAAGGTACCCCTAGTTTTTCGGAAACTCCCATATTAACTTCTTGTTCGCCCCGACCGTTCCGATGCTCCTCCCAATGTACTTGGAGGGTCGGGGGACGTAGTAAGCAGGTGGTAAGTAGACTTATAAGTACCCTAGAAGGGACCCTAGTTGGGGTTATGGTACTTATAGTCCTTAAAGCAACCAGTTGCTAAGTTCCCCGACCCTTCAAGTACGACCAAGACCCAGGCCGTTCCGATGCTCTTTCCTATGTACACAGTCGTCGCAGATGTGCTGCTGAAGATGACGAAGGTGGAAAATCTAAACCATAAACCCCGAACCCACTCTAAGCCCTAAACCCCTAAACCCTAAACCCCTAAAACCCCATAAACCCTAAACCCTAAACCACTGGCCCGCAAACCTTTAAACCCCGAAACCACAAAATCCCCAAACCCCAAACCCCCGAACCCTAAACCCCTAAGTACCCGAAGCCCCAAACCCCCCCGAACCCCCAAGACCTAAACCCGTACCTAGATCTCTTTAAGGAACCCTTTAACGAGCCCCCTAAAAGAACCTTTTAAGGAGCCCTTACAGCAACACCCTTATATAGCCCCTTAAGGACCCCTAGAGTAAACCACCGTAAAACACCCCAAGCATGAGGAGATCCCTTTAAGGAACCCCCTTATAGAACCCTTAAAGGAACCCTTTTATATAGCCCCTTAAGGGCCTTTAAACCCTGAACCCAGCAGGTGGAGTCGCACGAAAAGCTGAAGGTCGGCCCGGGGGGGGGGGGGGGCTGAGTATTCGCTTTTATATTTCCTGAGGGTTGAAGGTTTCGGGTTTAGGGGTTGAGGGGTTTAGGGTTTAGGGTGTAGGGTTCAGGCTTTCAGGGTGATTTTTTTTAAAGGCTTCCTTTTGGGGGTTTGGGGTTTAGGTTTTAGGGTCCAGGGCTGAGGGTTTAGGGTTGAGGTTTAGGGCTGAGGTTTCAGGGCTTAGGGCTTGGGCTCAGGGCCACGGTTTAGGGTTTAGGGGTTTAGGGTTTAGGGTTTAGGGTTCATCATCGTCATCATCATCATCATCACCGTTGTCATCACCTTCACCATAACACCACCACCACCATCATCGTCATCATCACCATCATCATCGTTATATGTCCATCAGCTGTAGAGGTGTTGCCGAAGAAACGGTATCATCTTGCTAACTCTTGTTATTGCACTTAATGATTAGGAGGATGAATGTTAGTAGCCCTCCTCCTCCTCCTCCTCCTCCTCCTCCTCCTCCTCCTGCTCCTCCTCCTCCTCCTCCTCCTCCTCCTACTCCTCCTCTTGTCTTTTTTGTTTTTTTTGTTGTTGCTGTTGTTGTCGTGGTCGTCGTCCCTTCTGTTACTTTACACGTTTGTGCAACACGCCTCAGATGAAGCCCCGCTTGCCCCGTGCCCTCAAAAGAGGCCCCAAGAAGCACATAAACATGAGGATGCGACCACGAAACTCACCTAGAATCGTCTTCTGTTGGGGCCTTACCCAAGCGAAGCCCAACAGCATGGTTTCTGCCGCTGGCGTCAGGAAGAGCTTTTCTAATGGGAATCATGACATTGGGATGTTCGAGATGGGGGTTTGAAGGACATGGGAACAGTGCAGACATCAAACAGTAGGATTCCCATCTTAAGGAAACGCAACACCTAAACCCTAAACCGTCGCTCCCGGCATTTTAGGAACCCCTCTAAGTACCTTGCTACATGGTTGCGCAATCTTGTCCTCTTACAGTGCCCATATATCTATACTAGTCTTACAATATGCCCAAACTCTGTACTAGTCTCATAAAAGCCGATAAAGCCCCGTCAAAGCTTATTAGAAGGCAAGTGAACCTATCGAAGAAACACAGAATTATTCTGCTTCTTACGAGCCCTTTTCTTTCAAACTCTTCGTTGCTGAGAGATGCTTCGGTCGCCGACCATGTACTATAGGGACCTAAATGATTACCATTACTATTTTGGAGGTTCCCTACGATATTTATACGATTATGGACCCCGAACCCTATTCTAATTATTAAGGCCCCTATATTACAGTACCCTTATAGTAGCCCTTATAGTAACCCTGATAGAGCCCTTTAAAGGAACCCTATTCTAATTATTAAGACCCTAGATGGGGCATTACCAATCCGAAACCATGAGTTCATGTCCGGGTCTCTTGGGGACTTTTGTTTTATTATGCTTTTCGCTTTTGCTTCTGGCAGGGTTTAGGGGTTTAGGGTTTAGGGTTTAGGGCTTTGTCTAGGGACCTACAAAATTTTACCCTAGATGTCTCGCTCACCTCCCAAGGGATTTCTGTTGAGGGATCCTTCAAGAGTCTCGGGAATTAGAGGCCGAGGGTTACCTCTGTAGAGGCCTTCTTCAGTTTTTTTTTGGTAAGCTGGGCTGCAGAGTGTATTCTCGAGCTTTCATAAGGCTATTTTTTCAGGGTTTTTAAAATTGTCCTTTTTGGAGGTCGTCCAGGGTTTCTCGGGGGGGGGGGGGGCTTTTGTCTCAACTCTAAACCCAAAAACCCTAAGCCCCAGCCACTTTTTGAAGGCGAGGGGGCAGCTCGTCGTCTTCAGCGCCGACTTGGGGAGTGCTGTCTTCGTGTCGCACCAATGGCTTTCGAAAGGTCATCCCGATCCCGACTTCAAGCAGATGCGCACGCTGCAAGGCGCCGTACGTCAGATCTTGAAGAGCACTGGGTCTATATCACTGGACCTGCTTACAGAATCTTTGGTGCAAACCGCCAAGCCTATTCCCTTGAAGGACTTTCAGGGGCAGACGCTGTTCTTCTGGTACGACTACTGGTCATGCCCGCAGCTTGAGAACCAGAATGGCAATGCTGAAGAGACAGATGGGAACCAGCACCAGAACCAGCACCAGTCTAATGCAATCAGCAGTATCCCAGCCTACATAGCCAGGTGCCGATTTTTCTTCGCACTTTGCCCTGCGATCGACTGCCCTGACCAGGGTCAGGTTCTAACATCAGCGTCTTGGGGCACCAGAGGTTCCTGTGGCTTCAATTCCCTGCCATTTTTTTGAAGGGTTGTACCATCGAATCAAGGGGTCGTACCCGATTATTTTTTTGGAGGTGTGGGTGGGGTCACAGGTTGGTGTCGCCTAGAGCGAGCAGCACGCGAACTGTCGCAAAACAGCACTTGGATTCTCATTCGAAGCGAGACATCCATTGAAGCTGTCGGTGCAGTGCTCTCCTTTCCTGGCGGCTCTGTCGGGGAAGGCGAGTTCGCCATCTCAGAGGATCGCGGGAAGCTGGCCCCAGTGATGCAGAAGATCCTCCTGCAGAAGCTGAACCACTGCTTGCGAGTGGGCGACATGCCTGGATTCCGGCGCCAGTTCAATCTGCAGCTGGGTTTTCGTTCTGGAATTTCGTTTACAGGATGTGGTTTCCCTATTTTGCTAGCTTCTCTTACATTCCCTGAACCCCAAACCCTGAAGCCCTATAAACCAGAACCCAGGCAGACGGTTCACCTGCGTGGGCTGGAGATCGAGCCAATTGCCGACCTTCTTCCCAACTCGGGGGCCCAGGACGGTGAGGTGGTGGCGGAGTTCCTTCATCAAAACGGCTTCTTTGTCATAATTGGCTAACCTAGGTTGGATTTGGGGACATTTTTTGTTTTCCTTATTTGGGTTTATGAGGGGCCCTATATTTACATATTTTCAGGGTGTTTAAAGGCCAACCCAGTAACATGTTACATTGAAATGGGTACGTAAGCCCAAGAAGAAATCGACATGTACATGTTTCACATTTTCCCGACCATGGACTAGGCTTGAGGAGTGTCGGCAAGGCCGACAGTGCGGGGTGGTGGCCTCTGCACTATGCCGCATTGGCCGGCAACGTAGAGGTGCTGAGAGGCTTGTTGGCTCAGCACGCTGACCCAAACCTGCGCACGTCGAAGGATGAGCCGAACATGGGCATTCCGCTTTGGGTTTCAGCCATGGAGTTGGCGGTGGCCTTCAAGCACCACGAGGCGACGAGGCTGCTCCTCGCGGCAAGAGCCAACCTCGATGGTGCTCTCTCGCCCGTGGCCCAGAGCGCGGCCAGTTTTGACAATGTGGAGGGTCTCAGGTTGCTGTGCGCAGCAGGCGCCAGGCCACTGGCGCAGAACCTGTTTGGTCTCTCCGGCCTGCAATGTGCAGCGGGCTTTGGAGCTAGAGCGGTGATTGAGGAGATCGTGATTCAGGCTCGGCCAGGTGAGATAGATCTTTCAAGGGCACTCGTCGATGCCGCGGGATTTCGCGGTGGCTCGGCGGAGCTGGTGCAACGATTGATCGGCCTCCGTGCAGACGTCGACTTTCAGATATCTATGTCACGCGACGTCAAGGCGCTGGGCCGGCTGCTCTTTGCAGCGAAGTCTTTGCAGCACCGGCTCGGCCGAAGGACTGGTCTGACGGCTTATGCCTACCACCTGCACGGCAGCACGCCGCTGATGCAGGCCATCCGGTCGGCTCAATTCGAGGCCGCTGCGGCCCTGATCGCAGCCGGCGCCAGGCTGGACCTCCGCAATGGCCAGGGCTGGAGTGCGGCGGACTTTGCTCGGGGCCAGGCGATCCCAGACTTTCTGCGGCTCGGCCTGGAGGGGGACCCGTCGGAGTGCCGCAGAGTCTCCTCCCTGGCGCTGCCCGACGGTTATGTCGAGATTGCATTCTAGTTTACTATAGGGGCCTGAATAATTACCAACGCTGTTTTGGGATTCCTTCTTTATTGTAGTAGAATGGGCTCCAAAACCCTATTCTAATTATTAAGGCCCCTACATGAGCCTCTGCCATCTGCACGGGCATAGTACACAGGACAGGTGCCTGTGCAGTAGTGCCCGGAAAGTTGGAACATGGGCTTTGGATGAATAATGCCGGAATTTCAAGGGCATGAGGATAATGATGTTCCAACTTCCTGGCTGATGCTGTACTTGGAGGGTCGCGGGACTTAGAAACTGGTCATTTTAGGGACTTATAAGTACCATGACCCCAATTAGGGTCCCTTTTAGGGTACTTATAAGTCTACTTTCTACCTACTTACTAAGTCCCCCGACCCTCCAAGTAAGGAGATCCGGGACTTAGCGAAGAGCAAGGTTGGACATAGTTTCTGCAGCAAGCCACCCCTGGCTCGGAGCCCTAGGGTACGTACAAACCAAGTCTAGGATGCCCAGTAGTACCCTTATTTCCTTTTTGTAGTCCTAGGTTCCTTATAAAGTTACCCAATACCAAAAAGAGAGGCCTTTTTATTCTTAGGTTACTGGGCATCCTAGAAGTATGATTGTAGGCAAAAGGCAAATATAGGCAGCCTGCTACCTAGGTTGTATTCATATCCGGTTTATTATAGCTACAGCTTTTAGAGGGTTATACGTAAACCGAACCTCCAAGCAGGTATCGCAGAATCCAAATTGATAGCTACGCGCTAGGCTGAGTCCTGACAATATTCTTTGCAAGGGCGTTGCACTTTTCCGGCGACTTTAAAAAGTCTCGCCAGAGTCTCGCCCTACACCCAAAGCCTTTGACCCAAAACCCCAACGCTTAACAAGCCCTGGACCCCAAAATCCCAAGCCCTAAACCCTAAGCCTAAACCCTAAACCCTACGCCCTAAAGCCCCCTGAAGCCTGCACTGCCTTCTCGCTGAATCGGCTCGAAAAAGCATGGCTACCTTCCGTCAGCTTGTTCCAAGTTGTTGGCATCCGTAGCATAGGACCATCTGCAGTGGTGTGGCTAAGTTTTCCTCGCTTGGAGGATCACGGGACCTAGCAACTAGGGTTATAATTAGGGTAACTACACTTATAACCCCAATTAGGGTACTTATAACCTAACTTACTAAGTCCCATGATCCTCCAAGTACTCCTCCAGTTTTCCTCGGTTAGGACCCAGAGTAGGCCCTTATTCCTTTTTTTTGGGTTTAGGTTCCCTTTATAACACCCTTTAACCCAAAAAGGGCACCCTTTTTATTCCTAGGTTGCTCTTAGGTCTAGTTGCGGAAGCTTCTGTTGGGAATTTCCGAAAAGTAGGGGTTCCTTTGAAGGGATCCTGTAAGGGTTCATGATGATACTCTTCCAGGTGAAGCAGGGAGGCTCGCAGTCTGAGCTACTAAGCGCTGTAATGAGAGCAAGCCTTAGAACCCTAGTTTAGGGTTTACCCATAGGCCCCAAAGTAGTTCCTTTTTAAGGATACCTCCAGGATTCTATATACGAACCCCAAAAGGGAACTACTTTGGGGCCTTAGGGGCTTAAATCCTATTCCCTCAACCCTTAAACCCCTAAACCCAAACCCTAATCCCTAAACCCTAAACCCTGATCCCTAAACCCTTACGGTAAATCCTAATCCCTCAACCCCTAAACCCTTTAGCCTAAACCCTCATCCCTCAACCCTTAACCCCTAAACCCTTTAGCCTAAACCCTCATCCCTCAACCCTTAACCCCTAAATCTTTAGCCTAAACCCTGATCCCTAAACCCTTAACCCCTAAATCTTTAGCCTAAACCCTCATCCCGGATCCCTAACCCCTAAATCTTTAGCCTAAACCCTCAACCCTTAACCCCTAAATCTTTAGCCTAAACCCTCATCCCTAAACCCTTAACCCCTAAATCTTTAGCCGAAACCCTCATCCCTAAACCCTTAACCCTAAATCTTTAGCCGAAACCCTCATCCCTAAACCCTTAACCCTCAAATCTTTAGCCTAAACCCTCATCCCTAAACCCTTAACCCCTAAATCCTTTTAGCCCAACCCCTGGAGGCCGCAGAATTCTTGCGTCGCGTTGCGCGAAGCAACGAAGAGTCGTGCCGATGCTTCAGGGGGTAAAGGGATCCTTAAAGGGAGCTATAGGGTTCTATATAGGGATCTATAGGGTTTAGGGTTTAGGGTACTACTTGGAGGATCATGGGACTTAGTAAGTAAGGTTTGAAGTTGGGGCGTACTTGGAGGGTCGGGGGACTCAGTAAGTAGGTAGTAAGTAGACTTATAAGCAGCTTAAGAGGGACCCTAATTGGGGTTATGGTACTTATAAGCCCCCGAAGTCCCCCCGACCCTCCAAGTAGGGCTAGGGCAGAGGCCACAGCATAGAGGCCGCATGAGCCGGAAGACTGCCGGCCAGTACCTCTGTACCCTAACCCTAGACCTCTAAAGCCTAAACCTCTAGACCCTACAGTAGAAGCCAAAAAGTTGGAACATCAGTAGCCTCATGCCCTTAAAGTAAAGTAAAGTAAAGGGAAACCCAGCAATCCATGTTCCAACTTTCTGGGGTTCACTATAAAGGGTTTAGGGTTTAGGGTTAACTAAACTCTAAACCACTAGAGTGCACGTCCCAGAAGGGGATGGACCGTCGTGCGAGCGAAAGGCCAGTGCACTTGAGAAAAAACCTAAACCAAGCCTTAAGCCAGAGGCTTCGTGCCTTCACCACATTACCCACCATTCCTGAGCACCACTCCCCAAAACCCGAACCCCTTAACCTGAACCCTGAACCCTAAACCCGAAACCCTCCCTAAACCCTGAACCCGAACCCCTAAACCCTAAACCCTTAAGCCCTAAACCCTTAAACCGAAACCCTGCCGGGAAACTCAAGCCGGAACCACCCTGAATCCCTTAGGGTTTAGGGATTAAGAGACCCTGGGCCTATAACACCAAAATAGGAGGATTCATACAAGGAACCCTAGTAAACCTACATAAGGCTCCTAACTTGAAAGATTCCATGAAGGGGTGTAAGGGGATCTATCAGAATTTAAATGAGGAACTAGGAGCTATCAGGGTTCCTTGAAGGGGATTGAAAGGGTACTGTTGGGGTTCTTTGAAGGTGTCCTTTTAAACTCGATGGCAGAGGGCGGATTTTCAGCGGCACCAAAAGCGCCGAGTTTGCAAAGCTTAGGGTCTTAGGCTCCAGGCTTGGGGTTTAGGGCTTAGGGTTTGGGGTTTAGGGTTTAGGGTTTAAGGGTTTAGGGTTTAGGGGAATCATGCCAGTATGCCCTCTATGGTTTAATGTTCCTTGCTTGACTAAGAGGTATTGGGCTCTCTGGGTACAAAAGAGGCCCCACCCCTCTAAAATCCCACAGAACCCTGTAAAGTTGTAGCACGCCCACAGCAACAACACCAGAAAGCAAAACTCGCAAAGTTTGGTTTTCCTGGGTTTTAGGTTTTGCGGTTTAATTTTTTCAGGGTATACTCGACTCCTACATGCTACTCTGCAAGGTCCGGGATGTAGGGTCATTTCATGTTTTCAGGGCTTCTGGACCAGAGAAGCCACATTTTTTTCGGGGATTGTGCAGGGATTAAGACCCTAAACCCTAAACCCCCCGAAACCCCAGAGGGAAGAACCTGAACCCTAAAGCCCCCAAAGCGCAGGGATTAAGACCCTAAACCCTAAACCCCTAAAGCCCCCAAAACCCTAAAGGGAAGAACCTGAACCCTAAACCCTGAACGAGGCAGGTGATTCCAGGTTCAGGTAGCAGGCTGGTCAGTGGTACACTTTTTTACTTTCAGGTTTCTGGGGTCCTACTGTTGATGATATAAATCCTGCATGACCCATAATAAAGAATATACCATAATTTCCATAGTTTAGGGTCCTTAAGGTAATGCAGGATTTATATCATCAACCGTATTATAAAATCAGAAGCTAAAGAACGTATATACTTTTCTGAATGGGTTACTGAACAGCCGAGGTAGGGTCTCAGACTAAGAGTCTCCAATTAGCCTCGGCCCAGCCCTTCCAACATCCCTTAATGAAGGAATATACCTTAACTTATAGGAGGGTTAAGGGTTTAGGGTATAGTATCCCCTAGTTAAAGAATATACCTTAACTTGTAGGAGGGTTAAGGGTTTAGGGTGTAAGCCGTCTTCGATGTTCAGAAGTTTCCGAGTTCCTTTCAGGGTGTAGGGGTTACTTGGAGGGTCGGGGGACTTAGTAACTGGTTATTTTAGGGGCTTGTAAGTACCATATCCCCAATTAGGGTCCCTTTTAGGGTACTTATAAGTCTACTTACTACCTGCTTACTAAGTCCCCCGACCCTCCAAGTAGGGGCTAGCGGGTGAGTGTCAGGGTGCGTCAACTCTGAGTTCTACTTTTTAGGGCTTAAATAATTTCCACCGCTATTTTGGAGGGTTCCTAGGGTTCCTTGCAAGGGGTCTATAAGGGTTACTACAAGGGATCTATAACGGTACTATAATACTATTTTGGGGGTTCCTTATTATAAGTATAGTATAATGGGCCCCCAAAACCCTATCCTAGTTAAGGCCCCTACATCACTCTGTCGGACGCGTTTGGCCCAAGCTGGCAAGCAACCGGCATGACATGAATGAAGCCCCTTGACATGCTGGCTTTCAAGCATCTCTGTCGCCTTTACCGAGAGCGTCGCTCTGTACCCACCGAGTATCATCTACAGCGATTGCAAGGTAGCTACAACCTCTGTAGATCTACCTTGGGGCCGATATTCTAGGATCTGCGTGCCCCTGGGTTGGGAGCCTCGCCCGCGCCTTAACATCGGGAGTACTGTTAGTTTGTTTTTTTGGAAGTGAGGGCGTTGGAATTTTAGGGCGGTGGGGGTGCTGTGAGATTGTGGAGTTTCGTTTTTCATGCTGGAGCGGTTTGAGGTTCAGGAGTTGAGGGTTGTGTAAGGGCTGTGAACGTGAAAGGGGATCAAAGGGGAATGGTATGTGCTTTCATCAGGATTTTAGGTGGGTTT